CAAGCAGCACAAATACTGGGAGGAGAGGAGTGGTGGGAGAGGGACAGAACGGTTAGGTTCTGCGAGATTATCCAATTATACCAAAAGTAGAGGCGCAAATTTCCACCACCTAGCTCCACATTAGACAGATCTCAGGAGGTTGATTGAAGGCAACTTCAAACTAGAACGTTTCCCAACCTGAAGCACCTAAATCGCATCTACCCCGAACTATACCCAGATGACTCGTGTAAGCTGTGTAGCATGAGACGCGCCACCCTAGAGCATATGTTATGGGAATGCACACAGATACAGGACGCCAATGCAGTCTCCCCAGAACAGCTTGGGGCACGGTGGAGAGCCGCACTGATCAGCTCAGATCGGACAGATCAAATATGGGCCATCCAGCGATCACGGGAGGCGGCTGAGAGACAGGGTCTCTCCACCGCCCCTGGCGTGGCTTAGGCCCACGCCTCAATCCGCTGGTTAAATAAAGTTTGCTCACTCCCTCACTCACATCATCTGCTTTCTGCATACAGTCAAATCTCGTTACTACGAACACCGAATTAACGATTTTTTCAGATTTACGAATATTTTGAAAATCCCCGCCAGATTGCCCATATATTTTCAATGTAAAAATATTTCAGAACAACGAATTTCAGTACAATGTATATTTCTGAATAACGTGCATAATTTATTTGCTCGCCCATACGCAAGGAACATCAGTATTACGAATTTAGTTAAAAGTAGCAGCACCGCAACTCTCACGTAGCGCAGTAGCCGCTGTTTTTTTCCATGCACGGAAGCTATCATCATCACCGTGTTGAGAGCCGACTGCTAGCGCCACCACACAGGTATGGTTTGATGTGTGGCAGCTTAGCAGGCCTAGCCTCGTTGCCTCGTCCTTCGTCGTGCGTCCTTCGTGCCACACACGTGTGAAGTCTGCTGCGTTTTGTTGTCGTTCTTTTTTTCTTAGCTTTCTGCAAAGTGTTTGGAGACCCGACGATGAATGCACCAGGTGACAGCGCTAAGAAGAGGCGAAAGCAGTTTTCCCTGCAATAAAAGGTGGATTTGTTGAGGGAACCTGACTCGGGCAAAAAGCAAATCGACCTCTGCAGGGAGCGTGGCATTGCCCCGTCGACTGTCGCGACCATTTGAAAAGACAGAGAAAAGATTCTGAAGCTTCACCGAGAGTCACAACTTGCACCTACGAGGAAACGGTTGCGCCTGGGAAATTTTCAAGATGTCGACCAAGCTGTGCTGACCTGGTTTAAAGATGCCCGGCTGCAAAACATCCCAGTGTCTGGCCCAATGCTTCAAGAAAAAGCCCGCGAGTTCGCCGACGCACTTGAAGTAACTGGGTTTGATGCAAGTGCGGGTTGGCTTTTTCGTTTTCGCCAGAGAAACGGCATAACCTGGCAGGTAGTCTCAGGTGAAGAAAAGGCTGCGGACAAAGAGGGTGCAGATTCCTGGCGGAACGATCGTTTCCGAGAGGTGGCAGAGTCGTACTCCGAAGACGACATTTTCAATGCGGACGAGACCGCGTGCTTCCACCAGCTCTTACCAGATCGGACGATGCACTTCAAAGGTCAGCAGTGTAAAGGAGGCAAGAAGTCGCATCTCCGCGTGACGGTCTTGCTCTGCTGCAATGCGTCGGGCACGAAGAAAATCAAGCCGCTTGTCATTGGAAAATACGCAAAGCCTCGCTGCATGAAGAACGTCGTATCCCTACCGTTCGACTATTGTGCGAACAAGCGTGCCTGGATGACAAGAGAATTGTTTTCGCAGTGGCTCATCAAACCCGACGAACAAATGAGGAAAGAAAATAGAAAAATTCTTTTGATCGTCGACAACTGTTCAGCCCACATTGTGAATGTTCGCTTGATGCACGTTCGCCTGGAGTTTCTGCCACCGAACAACACGTCGTTGCTGCAACCACTAAATCAAGGCATCATAAAGAGTGTTAAGGCGGAATTTCGCAAGCGCCTTGTGCAGCGTTTTATTATAAATCTCCGCTTAAAGCAGCCGACATCAGTCAACGTTCGTCAAGCGGCGGAAATGCTGACGGGAGCTTGGTGGAACGTGAAGACGCCAACAATCCGTAACTGTTGGCGAAAAGCAGGCCTAATCAAGGCGCCTGCCCAAGTTGAAGACAACCTGGAAGAGGACCACAGCAACCCAGGAGACCTGTGGACTGAGGTTGAGGAACTGTTGCCCGACGTCTCTTCCTTCGACGACTACGCGGAGAGCGACAGCACAGCACTAACGTCGGCGGACATGACAACCGAGGAGATTGTCAACAGCGTTCGCGACGTCTCCAGTGACGACGACGACGACCCGAAGGAAGAGGACTCTGTATCACCGAACACTGAAGAGGATGAGACCATATCGCACTCGGATGTTTTAGTGCACATGAACAAAGTCCGCACCTACATTGGTCGGTGCAGTGATGTGCCCAATGAGGTGCTACGTAAGGTGGAAGGTGTTGAGGCGTACTTAATCAGCCGTTTGTGCTCCACGCATCAGAAGAAAATCACAGATTTCTTCAAATAAAGAACGTTTGAAGTGTGTGTAATTTTTGTTTTTTTTTTGTGTTTGCTTGTCGGCGCACACGGCAACTGCCAAGGTGCGTCATGTTCGCTCCTAGGTTTGACCTCTTGCTTACAATCGAAGTTTTTCATTACAACGATATTTCAAAATAACGTACGAGTTGCGGCGGTCCCACTTAATTGGTTATATCGAGATTTGACTGTACAGCAGTTGATGAACACGGCTGTGCACTTGACTACAGTAATGTAATTTGTCATGGAAAATGCCTCGAGCCAGTACACAAAGCAGAACCACATGTTGCATCCTCCTTTGAAAGGATTGCTGAAATATGAAATTTAGATGGAAGATCGAGCAGCACATATTCGTGAGGAAATTCTTTTCGTTCTCATCACCAGTTCATATAAATGTAGATTTACAAGAGTCGATCTATTAGTGTGAAAGCAACAGGGCATTTCAAGAGCCTAAAACAAATTGACTATTTATTTCATCTGCATCCCCATTTTCCACTCACCTGGCGTGATGTCCCTGTGATGCCCCCTACACAAACACAACAGAACCGTGCAAGGGCACTGTGTGTAAGCGTTGTGACACTCGAAACATAAAAAATAACATTTGACTACACTTCCACCCTCAAAAGATGGGAGCACAGTTTTGACACTTTTCAGTGACCCTGTTTGAGGCCTCTGCTTTCTAACTAGTGCTGCAGTGTAGTCGTGTAATTTTTCGGATTTCATCTGTTTGGGGCACAATTTCTCGGCTCACTTGCAAGGCATGTTGAACCAGACAGAGCAAAAACAGCATGTAACCCTTGGCCTAGTGAAGGCACTGAATATCTATTGGTGGGATGTCGCAACTTAAACACCGAAAATGTTTTATGTGCTGTTGCTATGGCAACCAAGGTGTCCACCAGCAATGCTGGTGTTCGCAGCTCGTCAAGTTTGTTCGAGTGTGGAAAACGCAGCTTAGGCTTCCAGCTTTAGTTCCTAACATGCCATAGCCATGTTTACTGACCAAGAAAATCATATTCCCCTAAACGGCAACTAATTTTAGCCTTGAACTTGTGTAGTCCTGCCGATAGGCATTCCCCGTGATTAGCTGACTGATGGATGTGCAGCATTGTTACTTAGGTGAGGCTCACGAGCAACCTCACATAATGGGTCTGCGCACCTGAATTGGATTGATTGACGATGCTAACTGCAGCTCACCAACGTGGCCGCTCTCTGAAATTAACGCAAGTGAGAAAATTTTGAGGTTGGTCGAGCATTTTGGCATAGCGCGGTGTGCCAAAATGCCCAACCAGCCTCAACATTTTCTCAGTTTCACAGTATTGGCTCAGCTGGGCGCAAAAATTTGAAATTTTATCAAATTGGCATGGCTGTTGCACCCCTGTCCTCAGACTCTGCTGGGACAATGACCTGGCACTCCACTCAGCTACGGTGTGTTGTAGATGGGCTTCTAACATTTCGCCTCTATTGAAATATAGTAGTCGAGGCTGGGATTTTATCTCACCACCTTTGAGTGAGCAGTCTAGCATCATTACTATACCTGGGGACAACTTTCTGTGGCAATAGAAGAAAGGCTACGTGGGCGGAGCTACCGCTCTTGTACTCCTTTACGAAGTAGTCCGGTTCGGCTAGCATTTTGACTGACGGCCGCGTTCATGTTCTCTCACTGCACACAATTTGATATGCCTGCTTACACAGTCATTTGTGAAAGAATTTCGACACAAGCTTCTTTGGCAAGTCGTCGAAATAGCTGGAGGCCGACGCGCGCTCACCTAAAGACGAAGACACCATTTTGACTGTGAAATGCACATAAAATGTGCAATGTTTTCAGATGCACAAAAACGCGAAGCGACTCTTCGTAAAGCAACAACAAATATTGGTATCTTCTCGGCACGTGCAGGTCTCTTCGAAAACAGCATCTAGTAGAAAATGTTGTTTTCTTTTTTATTTATTTCACGCGGAAAACATGAACGTATTCGTGGCACTATATTCTATAGCGGTGGCACATGCCCACTTGGGCTCCATAGCCCTCCCTTCGTTGCCACACAAAGTTCTCCCTAAGTATAGAGCACCACAGTGGGCGTATACACAGTATGACACCTTACTGTTTTGAGTTGCAAGAAATTGCAAGACTTTCTATGAGACAAAATCAGTATGGGCACCAATGAGGCAGTAATGAAACTGAATCGGTTAGAACAAGCCAAACTAAATACAGCTGACGCAATAGGCAGCAATTCCTTCTCAATCACACTTATTCAGAAAGAAAACTCGAAAAACCCATGCAATTAAAACAATGCTGTCTATGGTGTTCTCTTAGTGGAACTTGTCCGAGTGCTGGACTCAGTAAGCCAGGATCAAGCAGTGTTGGTTACAGGAGATCTGCCGAGAAATTCATGTTATTTGTGGGTAGCAAAAACACTCAAGCAACATTAAAGTTTTAAGTACTCGTTGTAAACCAGTGACACAAACCTGCTTCAGGCGGTCATAGTCCTCCCGCATTAGCTTGGTCCCTTCAAGCTCACGCACCCTGCTTTCCAGGTGTGTCCTTACATCCTGGGCATTCCGGCTCTCCTACGAGATCACACGGGTTCATCAGGTGAGCTAGTGTTGCATAATAGTAGCACATACTATGTGTAACCCATTTTAGGAAAAACCACATGACACACACAACTTTTTCCTTGAAAAAAAAGTGACACATCAGGCGAAGATTTCTGCCATATTTCCTGCATCTATCTTGCGGATCTTTGTAAAATCACTTCTCTAAATAATGTTAGTAACTTAATTGCTGACAAAAAAACACTATGTAAGACTTGTACATTGAGTGCACTGTGTTGTCTACAATTATCACGTTACTGTGAGGAAAGTTGTATATTGTTAGACTAAAAGGTATTTTAATGACAGATTGTGCAAACACAGTTACAATGCAAGAAACAAGCAATAACCTGGAGGTTCTCAACGGTACACTGTAAAAGTCATGTTTGCACGCTTGATTTGTGTAGATGCACTGTAGTTAGCAGTTTTCACAATTAGCTTGCACATAAAATAAAGGAAGCCACACTTAAAAATGAGTTAGGAGATATGTGTAAGCTCTGCTTTAATTTGTTGTTGGGATATCCGAAAATGAAGAAGATGACTTTGATGTGGATGAAATAAACAGTCGGAAGCCTATCTGTCTGTTATACGAGCTGCGTCAACACAGGCTGGGCTAGCCCGAAAACCTGAGCTTGGCCCGGCCTGCGGGCAGGGTTGGGCCTGATAACAGATGGTTGGATCAGGTCCAGGCTGGGCTCAGGCCCATCAGCTTTGGGCTCGAGTATGGCTCGGGCCTCAGTCAGGACCGGATCAGGCGTGGATCTTTTAGATGTCGGTATAATGGCGTGCAAACACTGTTTGGTTTCATTTTTTGAACATGACACATTCTCAACTTATTTTGTCGGCAGAAAAGCCTCTTGAATGAAGCCTACTGAGGCAGTAGGACATTGTAACAGATGTAAGAACCTCACAACAAGGATCTTCTATTTACACTGTTTATTACAGATACACTTGTGCCCGAATACGCATAGCAGCTAAGAAAGAACCAAAGGTGCGCAGTCCTCGCGAGCCTCATAATGCCTTATGAGTTATGAATATGCCTAACCCTCCTCCCGCTCTCCCACTAAGCTGAGCCCAATTGTGCTGCTACTCACTAATCTGTGTGTTTGTGCACTTCAGTAGCATCTTAAAAATGACTGCGGGCAATAATGAAGAATTTCCTAAAGCAAACACTAACTGGAAGCTCAGTTTACTATAATTTAGACAGAAGAACAAAGATGGTGAGAGGAAGACGGGAAACACCGTGAATCGACTTATAAATTATCTCATGCGATCACACACGAGCTCTATTAAAATAATCTGATGTTACTATTTTTTTTAAAGCACTTAATGGACTTGAAAAAAAGTGCGTTTGCATCAGCCGACCTTGAGCTTTCGTGCACATGCATAATTTTATCCAATTTGCCAATAGCGTCTGTCGCTGGAACGTAGTGCGTGAGGTAGTGCGCAGTGCTCTCGTTAGGTTTTCATATCAAAGAAAATGATGGAATGACTGGAGCAGTGCTACTGCATCAAATTTTGCCAGAAACTGGGTGACAGCCAAGCGAAAACCATGGGGAAGATCAAGATGGCTTTCGGTGATGATGCTATGAGCTGCACACATATTAAGGAGGGGTACAACTGGTTTAAAGATGGCAGCACATCAGTGTAGAGCGAGCCACGCTCCGGCCGGCCATCAACATGCCGAAATAATGAGGTCATTGCCGAAGTGAACACTGTGGTGACATGGGACCGTCATGTGACTATTCGGGAGATTGCGGAAGAGGTGAGCATCAGCACTTTCTGTGCACATTTCATTATGACCCAAGATTTGGCCATGAAGAGAGCTACGGCGAAATTCGTGCCAGAACTGCTCACGGTGCAGGAAAACCAACTACGTGTTAAAGTCTCACAGGAAATGCTCGAATTCGCAACCAGTGACCATACCTTCATGAACACCATTATCACTGGTGATGAGTCTTTGATGTACGGATACAACCCAGAAACCAAATCCCAGTCGTCACAATGGAAACATTGCCCGTCACCAAAACCAAACAAGGCCTGCCAAGTGTGCAGCAAGGTCAAAAGGATGCTGAGTACTTTTTTTGACTTTCGCAGTGTGGTACACCACAAGTATGCACCACAAAGTCAAACAACCATTAAATAGTACTACAGGGATGTCCTCCGTCTCCTACGTGATGCTGTGCAGGGCAAGAGACCCAAGTTGTGGTCAAACTGGCACATCAATCACGACAATGCTCCTGCACATTCCTCACACTTGGTCCAGAGTTTTTTGGTGAGAAATCAGACTCCTGTAGTTCAAGCATGCTCCTTACTCTCCTGATATGGCCTCTCTGTGACTTCTGGCAGTTTCCCAAGCTCAAGAGGACATTGAAAGGAGAGCAATTTCAGAGGAGGACGTTATGGCTGCATTGACAGCCAAGCTGAACTGTATTTTGAAAGAGGCCTTCTCAGATTGCTTCCAACAATGGCAGCACCACTTGGAAAAAGTGTGTAGAGTACCAAGGAGACTACTTTAAGGAGGATTACAATTCTAATATTCTGATTATGCCTGTTATTTTTCTTCCAACAAAAGTTGGATACCTTTACAAATGAACTCATATACTAGATGTTTCACTCAATTCTGATAAAAAAGATAAAAAAACCATGTGCTCTAGGAGGTTCTAACTCCTGTACATTAATGATAGCCAAGTGTTTAAAAGATGCACTTATTTAGGTTGGAGAGGGTGCATTTTAGGAAATGACCTCAGTATACCAAGGTAATAATATGCTGATATCTGCCTGACTGTTTTTGTAATTTAAGCTAAATTGGCCGAGGTTGACCAGTTTTACGTGGCATACGGTCAACAGTTCTGAGCAACGGTAAAGAGCTATGACCTCACACAGTGCACAGCTGGTGCGCCGAAGGCCTGGAAGTTTATGAAGTGACGTGTTCCTAGTGGGCTGTGCATCGTGGACGTGCTATTCCCCTACAGCCGATATGACTCGCACATGCCCAGTGTACTGATGCAATGATATAAATACAATGCATGCATTAAAACCTCATTCATTCTTTTTCTGCACCCTGCTGTTGCTTCAGTCATTAGCAAGTGCGTTACATGATGTCACAAGTGGTGCTCGGGCCGCCTGCGAAGAAGCAGATAAAGCTAAGACCCTCGAAACCTCTGCAGCTGACTGGTAACCTGGATTCGTACTGGGATGGCTTTAAGCAAAAAATTTGACCTGTTCCTCTAGGTGACTATGCCGTGAAAACATCCCAGGACCGAATCGTCAAAAGCCGCCTTCCTGCTTAGTGTTGCTGAAGACGATGCCCTTGAGGCATTCAAACACCTTCCAGTTCAGGACCGAAGGAAGCCGGGAAGACCACGGCACTGTCGTGCGAAAGTTTGAAGCCTGCTTTAAGGTAGAAAATGAAATACATGAACAATACATGTTTCGCTCAAGGAACCAAGCTGAGAGAGAGCAGTTTGAAAATTCCTTCGGGACCTTAAGAAACAGGTGGAGCAGTGCAACTTTGGAGATTCAAAAGATTTAATGGTCAGAGACAAGTTAGTGTTTGGCAGTAACAATGTGAAACTACGTGTAAAAATGCGTCATGGAAAAACTGAACTCTGCAGAAAGCAGAAGAAATATGCAAGGTTGCATAAGTTTTGGCGCAAAGAAAAGTGGTCTGGTGCGAAAGCAACGATACGATAGATGCTATCTCAAAGCAGACAGAGAAACAAGTTTAGAACAAAACAGCAGCGTCAAAGTCACAATTATCGGTGCAAAAAGTGTAAATGCTAGCACAAATTATGCCAATGTTTTGCTTATGGCAAACAATGCAAATTCTGCAATAGGCTTCATCATTTCGCAGTATGCTGCTCGATGCATATCGGCAAAGACAAAGTCGACGAAGTCGATCAAGGTTCCGAGTTTGCTGATGATACCTTCGAAATACTCGAAGCTGGCCATTGAAACAGGAGAAGGAAGGATTGGAAAGTGACCGCACATGTTGCCACAATCAAGTAGCACTGTTTAATGTTGACACTGGCTCCCAAGCTAGCCTACTACTCTTTGCTGTTTACCGAAAAATAGCAAATGAATTTCATTTTAAGCCCTCTAATTCAGTACTTCGAGCATACAATGGAGGAGCGGTCAAGAATTTCCGGAGAACGTCACGAACCGTCACTGCAAGAGACACAACTAAAGAGATCATATTCTTCATTGTCAAGCGTGGCCAGGCCCTACTTGGCTTGGATGATAGTAAAAGCTTGGGACTTTTTCGGCACACTGTTGGCACAGTTGACGCTTCACACAAGTATGAGGTAATAAATACTTTTAGCACGTATTTACAGTCTCTGATGCCTAAAGCAGCCTTACAGCATGGTGCTGAAAGCAGGTAATGTGCCCGTCATGCAGCCACCACGCCAGGTGCCGCTCGCATTATCTGAGCCGCTTTGTGAGGAGCTGGAAAGAATAGAGCATGCTGGGATTATCCCGAAAGAAACTGCCCCAACATATCGGGCGAGTTATTTAGTTTTGGTGCAAAAGAAAGACTGCAGTTTAAAAGTATGCATCGATACAGGGCATATCAAGGAACATATCAAGAGGCAGCTTTGCCAGCTTCCTAAACGGGAAGATATCGAAGCAGGACTCACCAGGGGTAAGGAGACTAAATTGAGAACAGTTTTTGGAACAGCAAAATTTTAATTTTGGAGCAGAAGAACCTTGGTTCGGAGCAGTTAGCCGCATTGAATATGTCGTCCTGGAAGCTTGAAAATACAATTTTTTAGCAACGTAAGAGCACAAGTGCATATTTTAATTTGCTCATAATACACATAACACTGAAACTGATTTTGAAAGAAGTTTTTTAAGCACATTATTGCCAGGTATGAACTGCCTGCCTTTGTACATATGTACCACATGACCTATCAATCTCCCGAAAAAACACGTGAAAAAATACTTTTAAAAAAGTTTTGTTGAAAACTAGGTTGCCC